CTTTTAATTTTCAAAGTTGTAATTAATATAAAATTTTACTTAACAGCTGAAGCAGTACAAAATATTTTTTAATTAATGACAATTTTATGGTCTTGGTAAAACTATATTTCACTTTTATTATATCACATAGATGTAGTGCAGCACCCATGATGGGGGCATGTCATTCCTAGTATATTATACATAAGCAGAGCACCAATGTAGTTTCTGTCAACAGAATGATTCAGTTGAAGTTATTTTTCCTTGCAAAAATGCAGCACTGTAATGTCTTTATTTGAATATTTTGTGAAGACAGCATGAGTTACAGTGATATTTATGTAAATCACAATTGGTAGTAAAATTGAAATATATTTTTAACTATAACATTATTTTTCTAGCTTACTAGTAAGAATGAAAAAATTTTAACTTTCAAATGAAAGCACACTACTGAGGCAGAATTAAAAGGAGATGGTATGTCACAAATTTTACAAAGAATGGCAATTATGATTTGCTACAGCAGAGTAAAATAAATCAGTTGTGTAAAACTAATCTATCCTATCTAATAAAAGACAAAAAGGGTAATTGACGGTACCTTCGCTACGCTTCCCATTGGCTAATCAGGGCGATATGCAAATTAACTGCCAACTAAGATGGCAGCCGGCAGCCACGCAGCTGGATCGAGCAGGAGGCTTGCTTGCTCCAATGATGGAGGAAGCCAAGGTTCTCCGCCTGCCACGGCCCAGCTCTGAGCTCCAAAAGCAACAAAGTTTCAATTATAGAAGCTAAACAAATCCCAGAATAAAAAAAAAAAAAGAAAAAAAGGAGATCCAGTGACAGCAACAAAGTTTCAATTATAGAAGGTAAATCAATCCCAGAATAAAAAAAAAAAAAGAAAAAAAGGGGGGACCCCCACCCTAAAGGGGGTGTGGCCAGCCTGAAAACAGCCATCAGCCCCTCATCCAGGCTGGCCAGGAACCCCAGTGGGGACCCCCACCCTGAAGGGGGTGTGACCAGCTGCAAACAGCCATCAGCCCCTCACCCAGGCTGGCCAGGCACCCAACCGGGACCTCCACCCTGATCTGGGACACCCTTCAGGGCAAACCAGCCGGCCCCCACCCGTGCACCAGGCCTCTATCCTATATAGTAAAAGGGTAATATGCAAACTGACCCTAAGAGCAGAAAGACTGGGAATGACTGGTCACTATGACACACACTGACCACCAGGGGGCAGACACTCAATGCAGGAGCTGCCCTCTGGTGGTCAGTGCACTCCCACATGGGGGAGCTCTGCTCAGCCACAAGCCAGGCTGCCGGCTGCCAGTACAGTGGTGGTGGTGGGAGCCTCTCCCGCCTCCTCAGCAGCGCTAAGGATGTCCAACTGCAGCTTAGGTCTGCTCCCCACTGGCAAGTGGACATCCCCTGAGGGCTGCCGGGCTGCCAGAGGGATGTCTGATTGCCAGCTTAGGCCCAATCCTCCGGGGAGCAGGCCTACGCCAGCAGGTGGCCATCCCCCGAGGGGTCCCAGACTGCGAGAGGGCACAGGCCGTGCTGAGGGACCCCCTCCCCCCGAGTGCAGAAATTTTTGTGCACCGGGCCTCTAGTATATATATAAAACCCTAATATGCAAATAGGCCAAGCAGCAGAACAACCAAACCAGTCGCTATGACGTGCGCTGACCACCAGGGGGCGTGCACAGAACATGGCGGGTGTCAGCAGCAGGCGGCAGAGCACGAAACATGGCAGGTGTTGGCTGCGGCGGGATGGTGGAGCAGGTGAGCGGGGGCACCAGACCAAGGCAAGGCGCTGGTTGCTATCATCGGGGCGAGCCTCTGGTGGTTACTGAAAATTCTTTGCTCCTGCGCACTGTGGTCCTGCTGGGTGCTTGCACCTGCTCCTGGCACCAGCCCCACTTGCACCCACTGCTGGTGCCAGAGCTGCCGCTCACACCCACTGCCTGCGCCTGGCGCCGGCCCCAATCGCTTGGTGCCATCAGCAGGTGCAAGTGGTGGATGCCGGCCCCGATCACCCCTCAGGGCTTCTTCACCTCCCCCTGCTCCTGAGGGCGATAGGGGTGGCAGCCGCTGCTCACACTTGCTGCCAGCGCTGGCCCCGGTGCTGGCCCTGCTCATACCGCTGCTGGTGCCAGCCCCAATCGCTCCGCGCCATCAGCAGAGGGGACCAGGGGCCATGGCAGGAGGGGCTGGATGGGGGCATGGAGGATGGGCCGCAGCCTCGTGGCCCACAGTTCTTTTCAAGGTACATGAATTTGTGCACTGGGCCCCTAGTTTTAAGATCAAACAATAGTAAGAGTCATTTTCAGCAAGTGCATACTAATTTAATAAGAAGCTGCCTCTCAACAGACAGAAAAAAATATCAATGAAACCAGTCACAATCAATGAAATCAGAATAAAATACACAACATTTTAAAATGCTTATTAAAGGATTTGAGTTTGTAATTTTGGCCAGCTATAAAATGGCTTGAATTCTTCTGTGACAGAAGAAAGAAAAACATTAAATTATCGTTTCAGGTAAGGGAATTATGTTTAAAAATGAGGAAAAAATAAAAAGTGAAAGATCAATTGACCCACCAAGAAATTGTCAGTGAATAAAAGACCTTTCTAACAATCTAAAGATCGATCATTTCAACATCTGAAAAATTGTAAGCACTTTTATTTTTAGCTTTAGATGAGTTTTACAAGACAAGAGATACTGGCCAATTATTACTTTGGGTTTGTTTTGACTCAAATGACTTCCAAATCTATGACGAATTGTCTTTATCCATTTGCAACCTTATAAATAATTGATCTCATGTTGTAGACATATTTTAATCTCTTACATCTGTTACTTTAGGCTAGAGAGGAAAAAGTTTCCTATCAAGACAGAAAATGGGCCAGATATGTGAGATCAAAATCTGGATTTGCTAGAATAATTTCCCTTATTTGTTCTACTGTGTAACATAATGAAAATATTTGTGCTCTGAAATAGACTATCATTGATACAGTTATTAAAATTGCTCAGAATTGCCCTA